AAAAAGAACCCTGCACCCAGGGGTGAGGAAGAAGGACGGATCATGCCTGCACGTCGGGCTGTTTCAATGTACTCCTCCAGAGCCTGTCGTTCGGGTTTTGAGATGTGGAAGAGGCGACTGTTGGGCAAGGTGGCTCCTGGGTACAGGTCGATGGCACAGTCTTAGGGTCTATGAGGGGAGAGAGTCAGTGGCCAGATGTTTGTTGAAAACTTGTTGCAGGTCATGGTAGTCTGGAGGAATGGAGGACAGGTCCAACGGCTCAGGTGGTGTAATAGGTGAAGAGGAGGTGGGTTGTCCGGCGAGGAGACAGGTCGATGCACAGTCTGGGCTCCACTGGGTGATGGTGCCGGTGGTCCAGTCCATGGTGGGGTTGCGTTGGACCAACCAGGAGTGACCCAAAACCAGTGGCGTATCCGGGACGGAGAAGATGTTGAAACTGATGTCCTCATCGTGGTTGCCGGCGATGGTGAGGCGGAGAGTTGGAATCCGGTGGGTGATTTGGGTCAGCAGTCGGCCATCGATAGCCTGGGTCTCTATCACATGGGGAAGCGGTTTGGCGGTGAGGCCTAGTCGCTCCACCAAGGCCGGGTCTATGAGGTTACCCCCGGCTCCAGAGTCAAGGAGAGCATGGTGGGAGGATGCCTGACCGGCTGTCTCCAGGAGCACGGGAAGGAGGCAGCAGGTACCCGGCCTGGTGGAGGTAGAAGGACGGCCCGTCAGTGTCCCCACTGTCACTGGCAGGCCCGCTCTCTTTGGCCGCACCGGGCAGGTGGTGATGAGATGTTCAGGGGCCCCACAGTACAGGCATGACCCAGTGCGGATGCGGCAGGCCCGTTCCTCGGGGGCTAGACGGGCACGTCCCCAGTCCATGGTTCCATCCCTCTTACAATGAGTGCAGGTGTGGGAGTCCCCCATGCGGAGAGGAACCCGGGCTTCAGCAGGTAGAGTGGCCATGGTGCGGGTCCGGGGGGCCGACTGCCGCCCTGCTCCTTCCTGGCGGAAAGAGCATTGCTGTTTGTCTATGCGGATGGCCAAGTCTACCAGGGAGCGGAGAGAAGGGGGCTCGTCACGAGTGTTCAGTTCTGTCTTGATGTTATCATTGAGGCCGTGCGTAATGTGTGGTCCTCCCAGCCAGCCTCCGTTGCAAGGACCCGGAAGTCGATGGTGTAGTCCAGGACCGAACGAGCCCCCTGGCAGATAGTCATGAGCTCCCTGGCAGCTTGGCCCTGATGAGATGAAGGTGAAAAAACAGTCTGTATTTCCTCTAGGAACTCGTTGATGGTGGTGCTGATGAGTATGCCACTGGTGTCCGCAGCCTCGGCCCAGGTAAGGGCTTTCCCTCTTAGCCTGTTGATCATGTCGATCAGCGGTGGGAGATGTCGATGGTGTAGTCCAGGACCGGACGAGCCCCCTAGCGGATAGTCATGAGCTCCCTGGCAGCTTGGCACTGATGAGATGAAGGTGAAAAAAACAATCTGTATTTCCTCTAGGAACTCGTTGATGGTGGTGCTGATGAGTACGCCACTGGTGTCCGCAGCCTCGGCCCAGGTAAGAGCTTTCCCTCGTAGCCTGTTGATCACGTAACTGATCTTTTCTCTGTCCGTGCGAAATGTCCGTGGTTGCTGATCAAACGGCACTGCAGCAGAAAACCACGGCACTTGTCCACGCTGCCATCGAAAACATCCGGTTCAGGGATAGGCGGATCACAGTGGGGTCTGGCATAACGGGGAGCTGAGTGTGAATCAGGGGTGGCAGCGTGACTGTGTTGAGCCAGCAACAGCGAGGTGAGTTGAGCTATGTGCTGGGTGAGAGTGGAGATGTCCTGTTGTTGCTGCTGCAGTGCCTGCACCATACTGTTCATTCGAGTTGTAACGTGTGCAGGAACAGAGGCGCTGCTTGCACCGGAGCCAGCAGGATCCATGTTGGCCAGCTCAATCTGTTAGGGACGCTCGACACTATGATGAGCGAGCGGGGAAAAAAAGACAGACCCAGATAGCTGGCTTCGGTGCAAGCAGTGATATTTATTTACAAAGTGAAACAGTGCAATGAGAAGTGGAGAGGTAGTTAGTGGTAACCGGGTGTCGATCAGCGGTAGGAGAAAAAAAACATATGCAGTCTATGGAGTGGTGAATAATGACAGACCGGGCTGCGGATGCTGGGGTCACTCCTGGATAGGTCGGGGTTGAGGTGAAGATGACTGCGGAGACAGGAGTATGGAACAAACAGTTAAAGGAGACTGTGCATCAACCTGTATGGTGGTGGCTGGGAGAGCTGAGTAGATCCGTGGTCCAGAGAAGCGGTCTGTAGAGAGGGGGAAGGAAGCAGCGGTACGAAACAAAAGAAGTTAATACTTAACAAAAAGAGAGAACTATGACTGGTGTAAGAAGCGCAAGAAATAAAACAACGATCAAAGGGGCCTTGAGACAGAGATTGAACTGGCAGGGGAGTGATCAGTGAGCAGGGTATAAATAGGGAGGAGAGTGATAAGGTGCAGCTGGTGATAATCAAGGGAAGTGGGCAGGTGTGTTAGATAGTGTAATCAGGGAAGCAAAACTAGAGTGAGGAAAAGGAAGAGAGGAAGGTGCAGCCGGGCAAACCTGATAGAATCTCACTGGTGGGTTTGAAGGAGGTGACTGGCATCAAAGTCATCAAAGACATCCTCTGCAATAACTCTAGCAGAAAACTGGGGGAAACAAAGTACCATATAGCCACATAGTTCCCTTGTTAAATTTGAGCAAAGTCCAAGTCTGAGTCAAAGAGTATAGAGCAGTATGCAGCTGAAACAGGTGCTTCTCAGAACAAGCACAGTACAGCAGATGATCAAAGGGAAAAGTAACTGAAAAGTAACTTTAATAGCAACAGCACTTTGACATTGAGACTCAGAGAGAGTTGCTCATTTCAGCTCTGACCCCTTCAAGTTGTAGAGATCTCCAACTTAATCTTGTCTCTGATATATTACAGTCTACTACTACTACCCTCGTCTGGTCCCGTTAGATGTTAGGTTGTCGCCACAGCAAATCCAATTTGCATGAGTAATTTGGCACAGTTTTACGTCAGGTGCCCTTCTTGACACGGCCCTCTCTATTTATCCGGGCTTGGGACCAGCACAGAAATCACTGACATGAAACCCCTATGGCTAGATTCACAACCAGTCCTGGGGGCAATTTAGAGTCACCAGTCAACCTAAGCTGCATGTCTTTGGACTGTGGGAGGAAGCCGGAGCACCTGGAGAGAACCCACACGGACACAGGGAGAACATGCAAACTCCACACAGAAAGGCTCGAACCAGAACCTTCTTTCTGTGAGGCAACAGCGCTAACCACCACGCCGCCCTGTCTCAGATATATTGCAGTAATAAATCATAATAATAAAATACAAACTTTACCCTACCACATTATATGAATTTAAATTAATTTTTAAGACATCTTGTTGGCATGGGTGGACACATGGCTACTGATACAAAATCTTGAGTTTTGAGTACAGGTCCATCTGATGTGAGACCACATTTTCAACCCTCTTTTTAGTTCTTCTGTGCTTCTCTGCTGCAGCATGTTTTTCTTGTCTTTTCTACAGAGACAGCATCATCATCAGTATAACCAACTGTGCCACCAGCGTGTATGCTGGCTTTGTCATTTTCTCCATCCTGGGCTTCATGGCTTTCCACCTGAACGTCCCTGTGGATGAGGTGGCCGACCATGGCCCGGGACTAGCCTTTGTAGCCTACCCAGAAGCCCTCACTCTGCTTCCCATTTCTCCACTCTGGTCACTGCTCTTCTTCTTCATGCTCATCCTTCTGGGACTGGGAACTCAGGTGAGGCTTGGACACTGTACTCTGTCTGTGTATGTAGCAATAATTGGCAGCATTGTTGGCAACGTTTTGTATTTGCGGTGTTCTTGCTCATTTGGATCATTCAGAATGTTGGAGCACTGTGACCTCTCACTAGGGGCATGTGCCATGAAGAGATGAATAAACTACTCTGAAAAGACCTGTGTATCCACACAAACAAAGTGTATATATTCTGTTTTCTTGTACCTGGAGCATAGTAAAATTCCACTTGGTTTCCAGTTTACTTGCCTTGTTTTAATCTTAAATGATGCACATGTTATGTTCAGTTTTTCAGTTTGTAGTTCACAACTACTGTACATTCTGTTGCTGTAAATGGGCCAGATGAGCTCTTTACACTAAGAGCTCACAGGGTTTTGGTGCACTGGGGACTCAAGATTAGTTCTGATCTAGATCTGCAGCTAGAATTTGAAATGGTTTACATGTAGTTTACTTTATGGTAAATGGTCACAGACTACATATAATGCCAGTCCAGGTCTTATTTATAACTGGTTCAGTGAGACTGTTACCAGTATTCACTGATAAAATTAGTCCTCAACTTTGTTTTTTTTTTTTAAACTGATGCCATCTGCCTCAGCTGTACTCTCTGTTTAATGCTAATTAGCCGATGTTAGCATGCTCAAAGGAGATGGTGAAGAAATTGCAGCTGCTGAACATCAACATGTCAGTATCCTCTTAAAAATATTTGGCAACATTTTTACTCTTTATGCTACAATATCAGCCTTAAAGCATTTAAATTACTTTTAATTAAAAAATTATAATATACTGGATATGAAATGGACAACAGGAACTTGTTTCCTTTAAACATATGAGACTAATGTTATAGCATCAGCTTATCAACACTTAGCAATGTGTAAAAACCATGTCCAGTCATCTCTCAAGATGTCTATAGGACTGTGTTACCCCTGATCTCCTCACGTGAGAAGAAACTGGAGCAACAGTTGCCCAGTCTCATCTCTCATTTACAGTAGCTAATCCTTTTCCTGTTACTGTAGTTCTGTTTGCTAGAAACTCTGGTGACAGCCATCGTCGATGAGATTGGTACGGACTGGATCATCAGGAACAAGACTGTAGTCACACTGTCAGTGGCCATTGTTGGTTTCCTACTGGGAGTACCGCTAACAACACAGGTAAGTCACAAACGTATGCAGATAGCTTCTCTGAATTCAGCTTGTTTTCTTCCACAGAGTTGTCACTGTCACTCATTTTCTGTTTTGTGCGTGCAGGCCGGAATCTATTGGTTGCTACTGATGGACAACTATGCTGCTAGTTTCTCTTTAGTAGTCATCTCCTGCATCATGTGTATCTGCGTTATGTACATTTATGGTAAGGAGGGGGGAAAACCGAATATACTGCACCAATGTGTTGTGTGTATTATGTGTACATATGACACACACATTAACATTGTTATTATGACATAGAGATAACCTGGTTTTCAGTTTCAGTTTTGGGTTTACTTCCAGCTTGGTGGTTTACTCTTCAGTGATAACTGGCCATCCATCCATCCATTTTCCTCCGCTTATCCGGGACCGGGTCGCGGGGGCAGCAGTCTAAGCAAAGATGCCCAGACTTCCCTCTTTCCAGACACTTCCTCCAGCGGAATGCTGAGGCGTTCCCAGGCCAGCCGAGAGACATAGTCCCTCCAGCGTGTCCTGGGTCTTCCCCGGGGCCTCCTCCCGGTGGGACATGCCCGGAACACCTCCCTAGGAAGGTGCCCAGGAGGCATCCGAAACAGATGCCAGCCACCTCAGCTGGGACTCCTGAGACCTTACGGCCACAGCTCCGAATGGCCGCATCAACAATGGAGCTGGAGAATACGGTCCACTCGGACTCGATATCTCCAACCTCCCCCAGGATCTGGTCAAAGCTCTGCCGGAGGCGGGAGTTGAAGATCTCTCTGACAGGGGATTCTGCTAAACGTTCCCAACAGACCCTCACAATACGTTTGGGTCTGCCGAGTCTGTCCAGCTTCCTCCGGATCCAGCTCACCACCAGGTGGTGATCAGTTGACAGCTCCGCCCCTCTCTTCACCCGAGTGTCCAAGACATACGGCCGGAGGTCAGATGAAACAACCACAAAGTCGATCATCGACCTCCGGCCTAG